GCATGAAAGACCTGGGCCCCGGTGTCATCTTTTCCAAGAGGAAATATTATATATTTGTGTGCGCAGTGGCGCTTTGTTCAATTGGCTTAGCTAAATTAATTTACTTGTTTTGTGCACATGCTTACGTGTGCATACTGACTCAACTAACAGACACCTCTCATAAGGTCAACACCTCTTTGTAGCCATCTCAGTATCGGTCGGCAAAGTCACCAAAGCATCATTCTTTACCGCTTCTTTGAAGATGTTCCAATTCTCTGTCTTTGCCTTTCAAGTCTGAATCAAACCAGCGTGCAAAACACTGCACTAATTAATATTAATACATACTAGGTCATCCATGGGTAGTTTTACCATTGAAACTTTGATGTGGACGTCTCCACTTGCAACGATTCCCTTCATGGTACGTTCATGCATGCACACCATGAAAACCTGCCTGATCTTGTTTTTTTCTTGAAGTCTTCCTTCTTTTGTTCCTCCTTACTGTCTTTCCCCTCGACCTTTTCCCTTTCCTGTCCGTTGCCTCCTGCTGCTTCTGCTGCGTTGTCCTTCTTATTCTCCTTGGCTGTGCGTGATTTCTTCAATGGTGACTGCCCAGGCTCATTCACCCAAGACCTCTTCAACATCCGGCGGGCAGACGGGCTGGAAAACTTTGGCTTGGATGGACTGGTAGTTTCACTCGACAATTTGGCTTTCTTCATAAGCGACTCGGTGATCTCAATTGCAGGTTCTGCAGTAGGGACCTGCTCTGATGACGATGCAGCCTGTGTTTGATTGTCTCCCTCATCTTTCCTGTCCTCAGCCGGCTTTTCCGCCTTGACAGCCTTTGCACTCTTATTCGCCTGTGATTTACCTCTTCCTCTTCCCTTTCCTCTTCCCTTTCCCCTTCCCCGACCCTTTTTGGATCCCTTATCAGCTTCCTCGTCGTCCTCTGCATCCGCAGCGTATGCCTTATCAGGATCCTCTTCATCCTGTCCCTCCCGCTCGCTCTCTTTCTTCATCTTTCGTAGTGCCCGCTGTGCCTCATGTTCAGTTCAAAATAGATATATAATTATAATGTATAAACTATATATAGACCACGTGTGCACAGCACAGATAACTGCATGCATGCATGCACTGTATTTTATAGATTGGGTGCCATGGAGCATCTTTGGGCCATCCCCACTGCTTTGTAATATGCATTTTTTCAATCAGCCTCTTGTATACTCTACTCCAGCAATTCTGATAGAGTTTTGTTGAACTATGTTGAACTCAAATGCGCAACGCTAGCACGCAGGCCTTCAGAATTTCATCCCTGACCATTTCAGGTGTAGATCCTTGCTCACACGATAGTGCTTTCTCTAGAGCCTGCTCGAGCTCCACAGGGATAGCTGGCGGAGGGACCAGTGCACCTCGATCCTAGGTGCGTCATACACATCATATGCGCAGAACAAACCCTGGCCAAATGACTGGGCACTTTTGGAATCCATTCCATGTGTGATACACTAGCCACAATGTGCAAATATATTTCATGATATATTCTGTACATAATTGCAATCACTATCAACAACAAGCTGCCAGGGCACCATGTTGGAACCTTTGGTCTCTTTGGTTGAATCTTCATGCAAAGCCTCCTCCTCACTGCGGACCTCCTGCGCCGCATCTTCTGCTGCCTGTGCTGCGGCGTCTGCCTCAAGAGCTTCCTGCGTTTCGTTCCTAGGAATCACACCGTTTGGTTGCTCAGTGGCGGGGGGATCGCCTAGGCTATGTGGGATCACCTGGGCTGGCTTCAATGGACTTGCCAAACTTGGGGCTTCGGGCATAGTCAGCTGCTGTGAATCTTCGGGGATCGGGGTGGCTTCTTGGGTTTCTGGGGCCGTCTCCACAGAAGTGGGGATGCCAGGTTCTGGCATCCCCTCAGCTGCATGAGCCTCTTGGACTTCGGCTTTGACCATCTCAATCCTGGAAGCCTTCTTCGGATTGGGTGACATGAGGCATTCATCTTCGGACAAGATCTGAATCGTATCATTATCCTGGAATAAGCTGCTTTCATCAAACTCCTCCTCCGATTCAGATATATCGTGTATCAAAAGATTGGACTTCGCAGTTCCCCTGACCAAAGCCAATGCAGAAGGCTCAGGAGAGTTGAAGGAAGGCAATCGGGCAATCGGCGAGAACTCTACTGGCTGGGAGTCGGTCCACTCCATTGTCTGAGTCGTTGCAGTGTCAACATTCTGGCTCTCTTCTCCACCTTCCTGGCACCAATCTGGATTGAAATTGATGATATGACGTGGCAACGATATAGATTATGTAAGACTGTGAACCTAATAACTTGCAAACACTTCAAAAAATCATGAACATGCGCAGCATTTCCTGGTACGCATCTCCTTTTTAGGAAAATCCATTATGATCCACACATGCGTGGTAGTAGTGTTGCATGCGCACAAAGAAGTAGCTGTCCTGCTGCCTCTTGCTCTTTGACAGCCCTCTTCCCCGCGATGCAACTCGCTTCCCCTCTGGTGTCAATAGATCATGTTCCTGACGCAACCCAGAACCACTGATTCGCAAACATATTATAAAGCTTGCACCGCATTCTGCATGCGTGCTTAATTAAGATTCACCCACACATCTCACATACATTTGGTTCTCATGCACAAGCTCTCAAAGGAGTCACCACGTGAAAACCCCCATATGCATGCATGCAGGCAATTAACAGTGCATGCCTCCAACTTGCACTTGATCACTTCCTTGATGCTTTCGCTGCGGGCATGGCCGGGCCTTTGAAACACGTGTACAATTCCATTCACACCAAGCAAGGCCATTTTATTTAGATCAATTGAGTTCATTTCTTGAAACATAATTCTCATAAAGGCGTAGAGGTCTGAGTTCATAGCCGTGCTCCCGGGTTCCGTTGAAAGCGGTCCATACAGTACGATCCAACTTTGTAAAATAGGCCGGATTCGACTTTGGCCCAGTCCTGCATGTGTTGCACTGCATGTACAAGTAGAATGCAGACTCGGGTCCCCAATCAATTGCATACCAATCAATTGAGCATGAATTGAACAAAGTTCAAGATGCTCCTGATGACGGTCCGTGGCTTTCCAAGGGTTGAGCCTGAAGTGCAAAGAACACCATGTAAGGGCCTCCTAGCAAAATCAGAGTCTCCAATGCCATGCATTGTACTTTGATCATGGGTTTTGTAGCTGAAAACTTGCCTTGTACCCGATTGTGTTCGCAGGTTCATGAAGCTGACACTTAGACAACTCATGCATGCATGCACATCTCTCCTCAAGTTCTCGTCTTCGGGGAAGCTGGTGAGCAAAGGTTGCCATGTACTGCAATGCAATCTCATAGTTGTGGTCATTCTCCACCTGGTAGCCACGGATCTATTTATATCGCCATGACTGATAACTGGCATGGCACAGAGCACATGAGTGGGTGAAACAAATAGCTAGAGCTCTCACGCCTCGTTCTCACCAAATTTCTTACCCTCGAGAACGATGAAGCGAAACTTGGGAACCTCGTGACTGAAAACGTCGCTTGTGTGCATGCCATGGTTTCTCAACAAGAGCATTCCGGATGTGAAGCTGCGTGCGCATCACCACAGGGTTGTTCCTTTTCATGGACAATGGAGAGTGGAATGATCCACATGCATAATTATTTTGTGAACATGATATGAAGTAAAACCGATGTCTAAGGCCTGAACAAGATTCTTGTCAGAATCCTTCAGTCCAGCCCTTGTGCGGAGCACCTTCCTCCGTTCTGAAATGAAGGCATCGTCATTGCAGAAGCTCCGCAGGAACTCCTGTCAATGAAGCATGCATGCGTGCAGAATATGACGGACCCCCCAAGTACACACATGATAGGATATACATGTCGCTACCATTTTGACACTGAAACCCACTCTTCACTAGCAGTTCTGTTCTGTGCATTTCTCCTTAACCAAATTCACTTGATGTGCATCCAGCTTCTTGCTCAAATAGGCTGGCGCTGATGGCGAGGCCATAGCACACCACGTGAAAAAGAACGTGCGGCGTACGTAGCAGGGTCTTCTTTTGACCGAGGGTTGATCGAATTGGAATTTGGTGCGAAGTTCATTCCATTCATGAATGCGAGTACTTGAACACTAGTAGCCAATCTCTGTTACCCCTTTGCAAATTTGGGCCGAAAGAAACCGTCTCGACGTGTCTCGACCAATGAAGACTGGCTTATATGATATCTATAGCTCATGCTCAGTAATGCTTAATCAAAAAAGCTTGGTCCAGTTGAAGCCCTTCAAGAGAACATAAGAGAACTGACTCCCTCATTCCAAGTTGAGGAGAGAAAACGAGAGGGCTGGGGCGCACCCAAGGCGTCTGTGTCGATGATGTCCTCTCCGGTTTCCCTCTCCAACTGACCTTGATCGGAGCGCATTGCCCACTGGTTTCATCACCCATTCTGGTTGGTACCTGATATGATGGCTGAGGTTGGGGCTTATGGCCAAAGCTCTCTTCATTCCATGGCCCGCTGGGACCAAATTGAAGCCCCATGGGAAGCGCCATCGAGTTTGAGGGATATCAGGGAAATAAGAGCTACATATTAGTGGTATCAGGGATGAGTGAGTTGCAACAACCGATTGTGTACTGCAATGGCTGATCTGGCCTGGGCCGAAAGCCGAGCTCGCAATCTATGAAAAACCCTCCACACCAAGATCGGTACCTGGGCGGGAGATGGCAGGAGGCTAGAAAATGGTGGTTTGTAAGAAAAATAAGGCCGAGGTCTAACCACCTTTCTTTCAAAGGTCGAGGAAGATGAGGGTGTGTACACCACCTATTTCAGATCAATGGTGTCAGTGTCACGTCTTGGGACAATATAATGTGTGGAACGCATCTAGTGGATTGAGAATAGATGGCACAGACCCCAAGAGGTGGTTTAGCAATCTGACGTCCTCTGCAAGACCCGGTAGGACAAAGGAACACTCCCTGTCTCAGCCTTCACAAATTGCCGGATCGACATTCGTTCCAGGCCCAGATCTGGGGTCCTCCGGCAACATTCCTGTAGGCCCCCAGAGATAACCGAAGATGCCCACCGACCTGGGTCAAACCAAGGCATAGGTGAAGCGCTGTGTTCGAAGCCGTGTTTCAGACCTTTTTGGAACCACATTGCATGAGGCATCATGCCCCCCAAGGGGATGTTGCTTGACTCAAAACTGCTCACGGGTAATTTTGCCGGAGACTCAAGCAATCCAAGTTTCGGGTTTTTCCCTTTTCCTGCTGGGACCTTTTTGGCCATCAGTTGGCTTCCTCGGTTCCTTTTTGCAGGGTTCCTTTGCTTACTTTTGTTTTGGCCCTACAAGTATAGTCAGTCGTGTGAAATAATACCGAATATCAATGACAGCGAGAACATATAAACATTGCTAAAACAATGTAAAAGCGTTGACATTTAGCATGGCTGTCGTCGACCACTGCGATGAAAATCTTCCCAACCTGGTGAAACCTTTGGTCAAAGGCTCCAGGAAGAGAGCTTCCAACTAGCCAGCCTACGCCACGCATGCTTATTTTGTCTCATCCGGTCTCTCAGCAACTCTTAAGGACTTTGCCGCCGGAGGCCCCAAAAAACGACGTACTCGACCGGATCTTCGTCCCGGCAACCGCGGGATCTAACGGCTGGAGACGTATTCGGCGTACTCGAACATGCTCCTGTTCAGATTGCAGGTCTCTTATGACCGTTTCTCGGAGGTCCGAAATGGTAAAGGAAAACAACAAGGCCCCCAGGACCTTCCAAGTGAGCTCTTTGGATCTCGGAGTCCCCTTAAAAAACCGGCCTAAATGACCGAAAATCCTGGGATCTCAAGTTCCACGAACTGAAGGTCCTGGAGACCTGGTCTTTATGCCACTCCAAACACACATTGAAGTGAAAAACTACCCAGTCTTTTGGGGGGTGGAAATCGTCCAATTCCGTTGTTAGGGTAGCTGGGCCTTCCAAAGGCCTAAGGGGTATTGAAAGCAGACCCATCAAGAGTCTGGCGCTGCCCAAACATTTAACCCCTTCTTCCAGGTGCTGGTACATCAGTGCGGGTCGAAACTGGACCCTGCACCCAGCAAAATCAAAAGAAGCAAGGCCTTCCAAGAACCTTAGCAACCAATCCGAGGCCTTCAGAGTTTTGACCCACACACACACACACCACACCAGAATACAGCAGACATATTATGTTCAATGTGCCGCATCTCCTCCTCGCAGCGGAAAATAACAAACAGGTGCAAAGTTGCGATCGAGTCGCAGCAGAATCATCACCGGGTGCATCCTGAGCTTCTTGTCACTCTCGATCAGCTTCACCTCAACCAGACACTCGGTCGCCCCACAGTCGAAGTGGTCGGGAACAGGTCACGAGCGCGCGGGAGTGAGTGCTAACAGGTATAGAACGTGGCAACGGGGTAGTTGGAACTCCTTTTGAACGTGATCCTCTAAGAAGCCCCATCAGCCAAACTCAAGCTGTTCCCCTCTTCTTACTCCACCATTTTCCGTTCTACTTCTCGGGTTTTTCACATGGTAGAACTCACACATCCACAGGCCGTCCTTATCCTTAGCTGAACATGTCTGCCCGACTCGACCGGCCGATCCACCGGTCTCGCGCCGCGAACGAGGCCAGGAACGGTCTCATGAGGCCAGGAACGGCTCTGACGGTCTTGTATATAAAGGTTTTTCTTTTTGTAATAATCCATTTGGAATAACATTTGTATTTTGGAATAACATTTGGAATATCACTTGTAATAATCCATTTGGAATATTTTGGAATACCCATGTTTCATGAAATCAATGGGTCAAGGAAGCACGCACGTCGCGCTCCATTCTCCGGTTTATGAACACCGCTGGCCTCGATGATGTTGCTGAAGGAGAATTTCAAGGCTAACTGTCCGATGATCGCCGTCAACAGCACCTGAGGTGCTGAGTGTTCACCTCTTTCTTCCAATTCAAAGACAGCACCTGTTTATCACCCCTCATTTCGAAGCATATGGCATAGGACAGCTAGGACCTCAAGTGGTTACATGCAAGACCAATGATACCGCACTCATCCGCTATAGTGTATACTAATAGGCAAACAAAAGAAACACATGAAAACCATGAACATAATTGAACATATAACGAGCAAGTCCCCTGCTCTGTCCCTACTAGAACTTATTCCACTTATTCTATGAATCGCTCAGCTCAATTCGGGTGAACCGACATTCGTGCACTCAAAAAGGAATGGAGCTCCCGACAAGTGGATAGCTGGTGCTGCCGCAGTGTCGAACATGTTCATCATTCCATGTTCGGCTCTTCCAAAGTGATTGCCCCTGGATTTGGGGATTTGAAGAATGGAAAAAAAGGGTACCAGCTGCGCTCAAACAGTGGCATCTTCCTAGTTGAAACCAAGTGCTTGTGGCACAGGTCCGAACCGTCAAAGCCGCCGCCACAGTGGCAGTCCACTGTCGGTTTCTCCAGCCGACGAGTGGCCAGTGTTGGTCTCTCCAGCCGACTGTCGAACAAGATCACCGGGCACGGCAGGACCTCGTGTTGCTGTCACAGCTGTGGGTGAGACCCTCACCCTGCTGGCCCCACAGACCTCAGGGCCCCAGAACATACCAAGAGAGGTTAAGTCTAAGTGACCTTAATGGGCTGGTCTTTCGGGTTCAACTTGTGTTGGGAATGTTTCATTTGCTTCTATAGTTATACAGTAACAGTTCACCCTTGCTTTGAGTCGTACGCCAGTTTTGACCAGGTCAAGTCACATCTCTGGATCCGCCAAACCAAATAGTTTCAGGTGTATGTATTGGCCACTGAAGGATGCATCACTCAAATCTTGGACAAACAAATTGTACTCTTGTAAATTATTGCACATGTTGTGGCGTATTCAGCATTATTTTTGAGTAGTTGCGTCTTTCATACCAGGTGTTGTATTTTTTGGGGTGGAGAGTCGAGAGTCGAAGCATGCACACATCGAGCACGCATTTGTGATTGATGATGAATCATACAGTGAACAACTTTCAAACTGGTTATCCACAAAGTTGGGCTACTGGATTTTCTACCACTTTTTGTTGTGTAGCAGGCTGCGCAGATTATGTTACACCCAAAACAGATCATGTTTTTTTCCCCATGGACCAGGCAATATGTTTACCCCATGGACCAGGCAATGGGACCTAGTACCCTGGTTTTCACCGCCCAGGGCTCCACACCATGGCAATGAAGGGCCCAACCTGCGTTAAAAAAATCAAAACTGTTTAAAGAGAAGTGAAGAGATGGTCGGTCCGGCCCCCCCATATCTTTCTTCGGCCGATTCGAACGCCGCGATCGATCTTCGTGTCCAATCGCCTTTGAAAAGGGAGGCACCCATTTAATTGAAGATCAAGGACGATGAAAGCAATTCAAAAGGGGGTTTCAAACAAAAAAACATACAAAAAAACACCGAACCAGGCATTGATGAATCGTTTCTCCAAGCTGAAAAGGAAGCAACAGTTGTCGGCCCATATCTACAAACGAGGCCAACAAACACATCGCCTCACCTTCAGAACCGGTCTATGTTGGGTCCATCTGTGGTGCGGGAATAACTGAATATAAATATAATATACCAGCACCTTCAAATGTAACTGATTTTTGTGCTACGAGATTTTTCAGGTACGTTTTGAACTAAAAGTGTTCGAGCTCTGTTTTTCTGCGCGTTTGTGTTTTAAGGGTTTTAACATATTATATAACATGTGATCCTCCCCCACGCCCACCGACGTGTACATCAACATCAGCGGCTGCCTCCTATGCCGGGAAACTCAGTCTTTTTCAGCGAGGGGCTGGTCCGGTTCCATGCAGCAGCCTCTTGTATTTCAAGAGAGCTCTGCTGAACGTTCGAAGACAGGTGGTAAGGCTATGTGTGCGTCGTGAGATTCTCGCGACCCTTCCTATGATGTCTTCATCTTGCCAACAGGCAAAGCCTAGGTAACAGGTGTGGCGACATGATCGAGAAAAGACGATTGGTTTGACGCAAAAACCATGAGTCAAGCAGCATAAACTGTTGAGAAGGAACTGACACCCGCTGTTGATATGTGACTGCATATCTTCCCTGCCAACAGGGGACACACAACTGACATGCACACAACTGTTCTCACCACACACTCGCACACATATTGCTTTTCATGCAGTCTAGCAAAGGCACGTTATGTGGTCCAACATGTGGAGCTTGGGCTTTACACGGAAGAGTTTCAAGTCTCGCTCCCGTGAAATGCGTGCCAGCGCACTGTAGCTTTCCTTATAAGATTGGAAACCAACCCGCACAAAAGCACTGACTGCAAACATGTGGACTCTATAACCGGCAGTCAAAGGATCCGTAATACCCCATCCCAGGGGCACCAAGCGACGTGCTGCATCTGCTGGCAGCCAAGTCCCGTACAAGTACAGTCCACGGAAGAATGCGTTTCCTGTGTCTGCTGAGTACTTCAGGATCTGGAAGAGATCACGGTCATTTGGTGCCTCAAAACTGTCGCGCTGTCTTGACATCCAGAAGATTCAATGCGTCCCATGACAAAACACATTCTTCCGGGCCAAGAAACCACATCAGCACACGTGAAGCTCGAAAGGAAGCATGAAATCCATTTTTGGACCACGATGCAGTCGTGCCCCTGACCTGAAAGTACCGGATACTGTTTTCGCCTCAGCTCTGAAAATTCCAAGAGAAAACTACACGGTGCTTTGCAGTGGTTCATCCAAGTTGCGTTTGAATCTTCAAGGTCTTTTTGCTAAACTCGTTGAGTTTGCAGGTCTCATGGGCACGACTGCACCACTCCCGGAAGTGGCTGTACAGGTCCTCTAGCTTGCTGTCCAGGCTGGGGCCGTGCACGAGGATATCGCAGATTGTAACTAGCGCGCTAGCACAAAACTCTTTTCCGACACCTATCGCCCATGTATGTGCGATATCAGTTCGGATTCGCAGAGCCGACCGCGCCCCTGGACATTCAAGAAACTTGGCCTCTGCTCTGCTCTCTTCCATGGAGGTCTCTGTGAACCCCGATCGAAACCTTCCAAGCAACCATGCTTGCCAAGTTTCCACCACTCCTCAGCTAAGCACAAGATGGCGACCCAAATACCTGTTGTGGCTTGAAACAAACATGCCGTGCGTGCCGTGCGTCCAGCGTGTTGCAAAAATGGCAGACATATTTCGCATTGAACCCTGTTGACAAAGAAAGCCATTTTCTCAGCCAAGGCCAATCTCCTTTGGCGCCAACATATATCAGATGAAATTGTTCGCCTGCCACCTCAGAACGTGCACAATATCTACTGTATAGTACGAGCATGCACATGTGTGTGCGTAGTGACATGTATACAACCCTAGCCGGCAAGCGGCTGTAATCCCGGTATGATAGCAGCGTGTCAGATCATCAACCATTGCGCTTGAGAGGTCATAGATCGTTGCATCTTTTGCCGCGTAGTTCTCGCTGGGCATGAGATGGGATAGAAATCTTGTGCTGAACGAGTGCCTAGGGTTCTATGGATCCAGGTTGCTTCAAGCACCCCCGCTAATGGCATACAAGTTAGGGCCTGTACAACGTTTGAGCTCAGTTTCCCAAGATATTCAGAGGCAATGTAAACCGAGAAAAGGCTGCCAACACGGCCAAAGATACCCAGTAATATTGGTACGATCTTCCCCACAAACGCCCACCAGTGGTTGATAGGTTACAATATGGATAGGATTCTTTGCTTTGCCCCGGCCCTCGTCTCCATGAATACAGTAGGGGATCAGCCGGGTGTAGTCACTGAAGTCCCGGAAGACCGGATGCCCAGGATCCAACATTTTGTATCGCTGCCAAAACCTTTGGAACATGCACCCCCATTCTTACTTTTGGGAAAGACTAAAACCACCCAGCAAGTACTTGGCAGCGTGGCTCAGCAAATAGCGGGCCCAAGACTGCAATGCAATGTACGGGTATTCAGCAACGATCTCTCGAACTTTCGGCCGGTGGACACGCACTCTCACTCGGATCATGGAAATCTTGACCTGCAGGAACTTCTTTTCCCTTGCTAAGTAGGAATGAAAATTCGGCAAATGTTTCTGAAACCTTTCCTTTTTGAAGTAGGTCCAGCACGTCCAATGGCTCGAAGTTTTGGGTCTCTGACACCTGGGCGACACGTGTGAGGTGGTTGGACGCAGGAAAGCGCATGCACATCTCGAAAAAAAGACTCGAGTAGACGAGGCACCTAGTCTGTTCATTCTTTTTTCAGCCACTCTGGCTAATCTAACCACACGGTATGCAGATTCTGCCTGAGATCGATCAATGGCATTTATAAAAACATGCATGCGATAGACTTCAACTTAACGACTGACCCTCCAGATCACTGGCGGTTTGTATAGCACAAGTTGCACCCTCCTCAAAACCCGTGAACAATTCATCGGCTAAATCCGAGGGAGTTGATGAAGAGCGATCATCATCATCATCATCCCCTGCCATGAACCAGTTGAGATAAATATATATCGAATGCGCAGCTTCGCCCAGGCCTGGCCTTGCGGTAGCCGCTGGGCATGTTGGGATGTCAAGGCTTCTGCGCGTGCGCACACCAAAGGAAGACGTTAAGTTGCAAGACACGGTTTGTTGACCCGTGCCTTGTTAGCAGCTGATTGCATGATGCTATATATAAATATCGCCGCGCAAACACATTTTCACATGTCCAGAACACATCGCAACAAACGCCGGTCGCGGTGTCTACATAGGCCCTCGAAGAACAGCTCTGTCGGCTGTTTTGAAGGCCATCCAAACTGATCTAATCGCTAATCGCTAGCCTTTCTTTTGGGCGAAGCTTTTGCCGCAGCACGGTTGCCACGTCCCTTGTTCGCCGGCTTGCGTGAAGCCGCAGGCTTGGCCTTGGCCTTCGTAGCGGCCTTCGCCTTTGCCGAGGCACCGCCATGACCGCCAGGCCGTGTCGCTTTTCCGGGCGCAACCTTCAGGTTCCTGGGGTGGAGGAATGGGACATGTAAGGGTTCTGGGTTCTGGTGTTCTCAACAACCAGCTATATCTCAGCCTAGGGTCTTAGCTCGAACGAGGCAGTTGTTCAAAGCGATGTCGAGTTTGGTGATCTCCACGGTTTTGTCCTTCACCTTTTGCTCATCCAACCTACAAAAGAAGATTGCATGTACAACATCAACATCCATGTTGGGAAGCGGTGCATATCAACAAATGAGGTAGCAAGGGAGAGTGCAGGTGTCCCCTAAAAGATCCTAAAAGCAATGCATTGCAATCTTATAAGGCTGCTACTTTCCAACTGCTCCATCGGCTTGGAACTTTGTCAGCTCATCGTATCCCTTGTTGAGCTCCTTGACGAGGTTGTCGATCTGTTTGGCAGCCCTGGGAAAGGCTGCATCAAGTGTCGTAGGGACAACGACAACTACATGCTTCACTTGTTGCATGCAACCTCAGTGCGGGCTAGGCACAGGTCGGTACGCTCGTTGCGCTGTTGCAGCAGCTTGTCCTAGAAGGAGCTAGGAGGAAACCAATTGGGAAACCGACCGGTAGGGTTGCAATGGTTTACAGTGCATCACAGGAAAAATTAGAAGAATTGGGCCCCCTCCTTTTCCAGTTCAGCAGAATCGATTTTGCGCCCCAATGTCTCGATCCAGCTTGGCAAAACTCCCACAATCGAGGCGTTCTGTTGCAGCGTGGGGAAGACAAGCCTCAGCCAAATCACTGGGTCTCAGAAACAAACACTGCAGGTTTGGGGTGCCATGCAATGAAAGTATACCGGGTAACTTGAATGAACCTGGGACGTTCTGCAACTCGTTCTGATCGCCTGCCGTGTGAGGAACCAAGCCGCGCAGCCTCTCGGGGACGGCCTGACTCGAGAGCAGGCTTCCATTGGGGTCCTGCATGCTGGTGGCCACATGAGTGTGCATATACCCAACGCAAATATATATGCATGCACATCTATATAGGCTCCAATGTATTCAAGATATATGGTATATCATGAGATCAAAAGAATTCGAGACGATCTACGCTGGCTAGTCGATATGTCCTCCATAGCAAAGCTCCCTGATTGAGTCATGGAATTCCCCTGCTGCTGAGCATGATCAAAATACTCTTCCAATACTACATTGATCTCTTCTTCACCGTGAATTGGATTCTGCCTGAGGTGCCCGTTGTCACGGGCCCAGTTCCATGCGTGTTCAACCATGGACCTTGGCCGACAAATTTGTTCACCAAGACCCATGAAACATGCATTACTG